TTGTATTCTGAGAGACAGATTCCATTGATTCGGAGCACATATCAGAAACAAAGCTAGGACAGAATCGCTGCGAGTGTCCTACAATGGTTCCGGACCGAGCTCGGTTAGGTGTTGAATGCAACTGTTGCAAAAACGATTCCGATTTGCCAATCAGATCTTGGAGGCCTTCGGAAGACAGCTGACTATTGAGGTCGTCGGAAACTGAAAGGAAAACAAAAGACACTGAGGAATCAAATTGGTTTTGAAAGGTGTATTACAGGTACTAATTTCTGGCATTAGTATTCAAATTCCTCATCAACTTGTTGACAATGGTCTGGAGTATTGCTTGTGTGCACATCAACTCTGGTTATTTTTGGGGCAAATTGACATGTGATATTATACAGGATTTTTGCGTAGCACAGCAAAAAGCTTTAATTGGGTTCATTGAGTCCAGTTCCGACACTCGTCACACTTGCCCGACAGTGCCGACTGCCTGTCTCATGAAACGATGGTGAAGTTATCGTGCGAGAGCTTAACAGACTGTTCTTGGAGGTCTGGGAAACCCAAACTGCACCCCATACATGGGGAGAATCGATTGTTTTCCTTGTTCACATAAAAGACTGTCGCGATGTCTGTTCCAACCGAAGGGTATAAGTCTGACCCCAATAGCGCCGGAGCTGTTAGCGTCCTTTTTATTACGCAGATTGAGCTCACTTCACGAAAGACAAATCCGCGAAGAGCAAGTAAGGTTTCGTGCATGCCGTGGTTGCATGGATCAAATCTTCACCCTTCGTCAGCTGATAGAACACTGTCACACATACAGGCGATAAACTCTTGCCGTGTCTCTGGACATCAGAATGGCCTTCGACTTCATTGATTGCCTTGTGCTGTGGTACTGTTTTCTGAGATATAGAGTACCTGAGATGTTTGCCCTGCTTCTAAAAGCACTTTACCATTAGACCCCGGGGAAAGTTAGGGCCTCACCCTCGTTTACTGTCACCAGTGGAGTAAGATAGGGCTGCTCTATCTATCCATTTCTCTTTAACTTTGCCATATACGATCTTCTGCTAAAAAGGTTACTATTCTTAAAGAAGACTGGTGTCGAGTTTCGCACTGGATACAAAGGAGTGGGCTGGAAGTATGCCGAGATAACAACACGGTAACAACGCAGCGCCGATTCAAAATATGGGGTTTTGCGTAACGGCACGTTCTTTGCACCTTCAAAATGCAGGATGCTGTTCCAATATTGGCAGTAACCTGTTTCTATACTTTTGTTGGGCAATTACACCCTGGAAGCAGTCTACTTCGGGAGTTGTAGACTGGCTGGCGGTGTGGGCGAGACCTATCAACGCGTAATCAAAGCTAGATTAGCGTTTGCCAACATACCTGGCTCCGGCGCGACGTATCCCCTTCATTAAAATGGTGTGTGTATCGCGTAACAGCACTTGCCGTGTTGCTCTACGGCTGCGAAACTTGGCCTCTCTGAGCAGTAGGTCTTCGTGACTATAGGGTCCGCCTCGACTGCTGTTCATCACACACCGGTGTGTAATAAAAATAAAAATAAAATAAAAAGATCATATCCAACGACTGTGTGTCTTCGACAACCATTTTCTGTGCAACATCGTCCGCGTATGGTGGGGGCATCGCGTGAGTAACCATGAGGTCAGATAGTCTTCCGATGGATAAAACCATTTCACTACACCGTCTGAAGTGGATGAGACGTGTCCAAGAATGCCTGAATAATGTCTGCCATACCTTGCGCAATCTGTACACATTGGCCTAGAATGGAAGAAACGAGATGGGTAAGCTATGACTTGGCGTAGAGGGTTGAAGAGATTGTGCTGGCTTCGGTCGGAGCTTTCCGGCTGGGCTCCCAAAGATTCAAATTATCGTGGCATAGACACCGCGGGATATGGTATTGAATCGAAGTCAGTGGCGTGAAGGTACCCTTCCCTGTATCCAATCCCCAAGGTGAAACGAACAAACGAAGTCCAAATGGCGTGCAGTAAACAAGTAAAAAAGTTGTTGTCCCTGTTGTGTCCCTTTTAAGTAGGTGAACAAGCACACAGTGAACTAAACAGTAAGTGTACGGCAGTATTTACACATGCAGCCGGTATATATATATATATATATATATATATATATATATATATA